ACTGTTAATCCAGTGTTTTCAGTTTCATTTAGAAAAGGAAAAAAGAATGGAGTTCCTGAGTGTGTGAATGAGTGGGTCTCTGCATCTATCTCTGTTTCTTGTGCTCTTTTCCTTCTGCTTGTTTTATCCTATCCAGTGTGCTAGTTTTTATTTTATCTTATTATATTTTATTTTACAATAAAAAAGGAAAGGAAAAGGACTTGTCTAATGTAATTATGGTCTTCACTCTTCTGAACAACCACAAAGCCATCAGGAGCAGTCCGATTTCTGATAGCTTAGATCAGGAGCACTTTTTCAAAGATTAAGCCCATATGAGTATTGGGCTGATGAGAAAAAAACACTACTTGCTTGTCCAAATGTCATCGGAAGTTCAGACTGCCCTTCCCACAGCTTCAGCTATAACCACCAGCCCATGTAAGTGGTAGAAACGGTCCAGCACAGTAATCTTGACTAAGAACATCATTGCAGTCATTTATAACCTCATTGAGCCTAAAGGATAACTGGAAAATATGAAGAATGCTACTTTGCATTGATCCTGAATGAAAACATTGGACTGAACTATTTCTTTATCAGAAGACTCAACCCAATTAAGTTGTTCTACCTATTTTGTTTCTTGTGTAACAGTTCTGAGTGAGGAAAATCTGGGAATAGAGTAGGGAAGACTGCTATAACATGAACAGTCATATACAATTGAACTGCTTACAAAGTCATTCTACAAAGAGCACCCTCTAGCTCGGTGTGTGTTCCAAGTAAAATTAAAAGTGACAGCAACTGAGTAGGGTGCAGAGCTTGAAATACTACATGTATGCATTTGTCTCCTCTCTGTCTTGTCTACAGCCAAGGGACAGGGTAACATGGATATCAAAGTACAGACTTAATGATGTTCCTTTATTTTAAACTCCCATAAGCTCTGTCCTCAAGAAGACAGTGTGAAAACTTTCTACAGAAGTATGTAATGGTCTTCCTGCATGGGTCCCTGCAGTATGCAATAACAGCTTAAAGACAGAGAGTCCTGAGAAAGCCTTCTTTGTGAATGGTAACAGCTAAGTTTTTAGGTACATGAGAGAATGGTTTAGGCAGTGTAAACAACTCTGAGCACTGCCCAGCAGACAGAGCTGTATGGCACACACAGCAAACACACGAAATTAGATATTGCAGACACTTACAATGTGAGAGAATAAAAAGAAAGGTACTGAATTATAACCAACTGAAATTATTAAGAACTCTAGAACTGGGAGAGGGAGAGAGTGTCAGCAGCCAAGCGAGACCCAGAAGCAGGGAGAGGGAGAGAGAAAGAGTCAGTGGCCAAGTGAGAGGCCCAGAAGCACTGACAGCAGCAGCTTCCAGACACTATCTTAAAAAGTGCTTCTGGGTGTGCCGTGAGACAATGCCAGCTCCAAGGCAGGCCAGAACAACAGCAAAGACAACCAAAAACTGTCCAATCACCTGAGCCTCTGCCTGGAGCCATCATCAGAGTCGTGGCCCTGTCTACACCGAGATAAGAGACCATCTGAGCCTTCAGCCCATCTATACCTGGAGGACGGTTAGGAGAGTGAGGGTGAGGGTTAGAGACCACAGGAGGCTCAGCCCTGCCTGTACATGAAGCAGCATTCAATGGATCCACAGCCCCCAACTGCACCAATTGGAGGAAGAGGGACCTCATGAAGTACAGGTTCCACCTTTAGTGATTAGAGAAAGAGATGGGTAGACAACAAGGTAAGAATACACTCAACAACACAAAGAACTATACAGCACCACTAGTGGTCCCATAGCAACAAGACCTGAACATCCCATTGCAGATGAAGCAAAAGAAAATGACATTAAAAACAATTTTATGAAGATGATTGAGGCCCTTAAAGAGAAAATGAAAAATTCCCTTAAAGAAATGGAGGAAAGACAAACAAAAAAATTGGAAAATATCAACAAATCCCTTAAAGAAAACCAAAAAAAACCTCTACCATGTGCTCAGCAAACTGATACCACAAACACAACCCAAGCTCCCATTTGTAAATTCAGAACACTTAAGAGGATGTATTCTTTGTATTTGTGAACAATTATAAATATATAAACATAATGTTTTTATATGTAAAGATCTATGACTAGGGAAAAAAACCTCCTTTGATATTCTCCCTCTCCCCCTCTTCTCTGACAGTGTACACTCACTATAGATAGTGCTGGGCACTGTAACAATTTCTCTCAAGTATATCACGTGCTTTGACCATATCTGCCCCCCCCATCTACTAGTCTACTCCCTTACCCAGCCTCCCTTCTGCTTCCATGGTGTGTGTGTGTGTGTGTGTGTGTGTGTGTGTGTGTGTGTTGTAACCCACACTAAGTCTAGGATCTGCAAATGAAAGAAAACATATTATCTTTCTCAGATTGGTTTATTTTACTCAATATGATGATCTCAAGTTGTGTCCATTTTCCAAGAAAATAGAAAAATTATATATTTATCACTGAATAAAATTTCAATGTGCATATTACCATATTTTCTTTATTTATCCCTCTATTATAGCACAAATGGTGCTATAATAAACATGGATGTACAATATATCTGTGGTGCGCTGACTTAGAGTCCTATATTTATAGACCCAGAGGAGATATGCAGTGGGTCATATGGTAGGTCTATATTTTGTTCTATGAGAAACTTCCATAGTGGTCTCCATAGTGACTGGAAATTTCCAAAGTTTTTTAACTACATCTTCACTAGAATTTGGCTTTAGCCACTAAAGAGTGAGACAGCATTTCAGGGTAGTTCTAACATACATTTTCCTGACTACTAAGCATGAGACAGTTTTTCTTATTAATAGCCATCTGTGCTTCATCTTCTGAGATTGTCCTTTGGTAGAGGTGTTTGGGAATTTTTTAGTATTATATTTTTTTGAGTTCTTCATATACCCTAGATGTTAATCCTCTGTGGGATGTACAGATAGACAAGATCTCTCCTGTTCGTATGGTGTCTTCTCACTTGAATATTTAATACAGCAGCTCTTTTATTTAATGCAATTTCATTTGACAATTCTTGGGTATTATTTCCTGAGTTGTGGAGTTTTACAGAAAACTTATCTATGCCTATGATCGAATTTCCTGATACTTCCATGTTATGGCATTTCAAGTCTCATATTAAGGTCTCAGATACATCTGCAATGGATCTGTGCACAGAGTAAGAGGAGTTTGGTTTCATTTTCCTGTGGATGGAATCAATTTACCAGCACCATTTTTTGAAAAGCTTCCTGTTCCTCAGTGTGTGTTTTTACATGGTTGTCAAACAGGAGTGGCTGCAGCTTTAGGGCTTTGGTTTTTGGGTGCTCTATTTCATGAATCTACATATTTCTTTTGGTGCCAACTCCATGCTGTTTTTGTTTTCACAGGCCTATAATATAACTTGAAATTGGGTGCTTTAATATCTCCAGCATTGTTCTTTTTTCTCAAGATTGTAACCTGGAATTTTATAAGCTCTCGTGTGAATTTTAGCATTTCTTCCTATTTCTGTGAAGAATTTTGTTGTACTTTGATAGAGATTGCATTGTTTCTGAAGATCGCTCTTGATAATATGGCCATTTTCAACTATACTGTTAGAGACCATCCACAAACATGGGAGGTGCTTTCTTCAATTTCCTTACTTGCATTTTGTGGTGGTTTGAATCAGAATGGCCACCATAGGGTCATATATTTGAATCCTTGGTCTGTGTGTTAATGTGTACACTTGTGATCAAAGGACTCACAAGAAGCTATACCTCATGTGAAACAATACCAGCAATGGGTTTCCTGCACACATGACAAATGTAGACCAATGACAATGGAAATAGCACAAACAATTTGAATTCTAGATCCCTAACTCATTAACCCATGTGACTCCAAGTAAACAATGTTCCAATTAATAAAATAGCAATAATATGATATGTCCTGCAAGTTTCTTAAAAGATTTGGAAATAATAAATGTAATACCATTTGGTACACGATGTGCCTACTAAAAACAGAATTCAACTTCTTCATTATCCTTATCATAATGTAGATTAGAGAAGAAAAGCACAGTTCTATTGTAAGAAAGCTCAGATTCTGAGCTGGAAAAAATGAAAGAGGAACAGATACTTCCCTGTAATTTCAGTACTTGGGAGGCTGAGGCAGGTTTGGTAGAAAGTTTGAGGTCAGCCTGTTTCCAACAACAAAATCAAACCAGAACAGTGAAGGAAGAGAGAGAGAATATCAAGAGCTTGAAATAAGATTTTCAAAAAACGTTTCAAAACAACCAACTCTTATTCAAACAAATCCACATTACCAAACTTGTAAACAAATGCTAATATAAGATATTGTTAGAAATGGTGCAGGAAGGAAGCTTAATGTATACACACACTTGCGTCCATATGTAAGCATGCACAGGTGTACTAGACTTATGAGTGCATGGCATTTGGATGGAGCTCAGTGGACAACTTAGAGGGAGTCTGTTCTCTTCTTCCACAATGTTGTCCTGGGGATCAAAATCAGGTGATCAGGCATGTCCACAAGAACTTTTACCCAAAAAGCCATCTCACTGGCCCTCATCTACATGTTCTTGAAACAGACCCTCTCTGTGGCCTTAACATTGAAGAGCAGGCTGTGCTGGTTGGTCTATTTGCCTGTCTTCACCTTCATGGTTCTGGGAATGGAAAGGCACACCACCACAATCAGTCTTTGACATATGCACATTCTGGAGATTAAACTAACTGAGCCATCTCCTTGGGCCTGGTAGAAGCTTTTACAGCAAACTTACTTTCTTGATTATTATTGCCATGCTCAGAGAACTTTGTAAGGGAATTAATGGCTAGAAAGTTTACTAGAATTTTATCGAGTTGCACAGAAAAAGTGTTTTGTGATACTACAAATGCTCCCATGAAAATCTACAAAGATTATACAACATGATACCCGAGCACATACTATATAACAACTCTTGAAATCATAATTGTGTATATTATTCATTCACTTATATAGCAAATGTAATGCAGAAAACACTTAAGACATACCTCTGATAAAAATGTTTGGGCTGATTTCTGAGCTCCTACATGGAGCAGATATTCATACACGTAGAGCGCTAACCTGGAAAACAGAGGGGACATTCACTGAGAAGAGGACATTTAAGATGTGTTTTATCCACATCATTCTACATCAAAGACAATTATATGCTAACAGTGAAAGAAAATAAACCTTTGCCCACACCCTTTCAATGAGAATGTGTCAATATTCAGAAAGAAAAGTACATATTTCCTTGTATCACCTCACTTATTCAAATATTTCTTTGTTATAATTAACATACTCAATAGTTTAAAACCAAAAATTAATAATTCATAAATCCCATTCTAAGGTAAAATTTTCTTTCATTAGTAAAATAGATGAATTGACTGGATTTTATTACTTTTGACCTTTTTGGTGGACAATATTGTTAACCCACCTATGTATACACCCAGATCAAAACATGTGTTCAGTATCAATGTTAACACTTGTTTAGAAGTTTCTACCTTCTACTTAATCTCTAGATTTGATTATTAGACCAATTAATATTTTAGTTTACAAGGCATTCAAATTCACAACTAATCACAGTATTATGCACACTTTAAAGTTAACATATTAATCATTTTGGAACTTACAGTTTAAAGGCTAACACAAAATTATATATAGATTTATTACTCGAATACAGAACGTAGAGTGTGTCATGTACACTTATACTGCTCTTCTTATCTTGTGGACTCAGAATTTTTCAACTGTACCATGTGGCTCACTTTCAATTGAGCTGTTAAGGTGTTATTCACAAACCCAGTGAATCTGAGGCAGTATTTTAATGATATCTTGGACAGATGCCCAGATATCTCTCAACAGTTCAGCTTCCACTGCAGTCTATTTACCAATATTGAACCAGGTTTACCGTAAATAATGCAATGTAATAATAACCACAATTCTGTATGGCTACACCACTTTCCTTGCCAAGGGAATTTTGATTATTAAAGATTGATGGCATTTGCAAAAGTGATAATGTTCTCCACTCCCATGAAAACACACCAAGCATCTGTCACAAAAAAGAAATCCTATGCAAATTAAGTTGTGTTGTCCATTTAATTACTTCTCCATTTCAACTCAACAAATATTTTACTGAGAACCACTAAGTACCATTGAGTAGACATTCACAAAGTGACTTACAGATAAATGTATGTCAGTGGCAGTGAGTATATATCGCAATTGCAAAGTATGGATTTCCTCCAAAGGGATGGCACTCTTAGGTCACTGCTTCACTCCCTTCCCACTTAGCATGCACAATGGACACGGCAGCTTCTTTCAAAAGCTGTACTTTACAGTGGAAGTGTGGCTCGCCCTGAGCACACCACAGGAAATACACATACTGCAATGTGCCTGTGGTTTAAGCAAACATTCCTTCTAGTGACTCTCAACAGCCATTCAGCACACATATCCAGCCCACATACCTCTCCATGAGCCACACAATCTTATGATTCACTAACTATGGTGGCAAATTTTACTTTGAAAAGGGAGAAAGGGAATATCTGGATAGCTGTGATGCCTCAAAAGTGCAGCCAGACACCCTACTGCTGCATGAGAAGAAATGTAACTTCATGTAATCCCTTGTGACCTGTAAAAGCCCAGGGTCTAAAGCCCATCAGTACCCACTGGGCAGAAATGGGGCCTGTGTCAAAGGCTGAAGGCTAGTCTACCAAGTTTGAGGAATTTGAAAGACAAAGAATGAAGCAGAGATACCATGATGGGCTTGTGGGAAAGAGGTAGAGTGGCAACAGAAAGGTCCAACTGTTTCTCCAAATCACAACTAAAGTTTCTCACAAAGTGTTCATCCTTTATACTGACCATGCCCAAAGTTAAATTTACCTTATCCATCTGTTTTTATGGCTCTTGTGTTCAAAATAAAAATAATAATTAAAAGATAAACAGTTTGAGTCTCAGTTTCCTGAATCTATCAAACAAAAGAATGTTCCTTCCATTATTGACAGATTAATTACTATTATAATTTTGACTGGCTAAGTTCCAGTAATATATAACCAAGTCATACACTGGACACCAGTGATTCCTGCACTTAAAGAGCCCACACACAGCAGCAGCAGGAACTTTCAGCATTAGATACAGGTATTCTGTACTTCCCATAGCTCCCCACAATAATAGCACTGAAAACACTAAAATAAGAATATCTGAGAGTTCTTGTCTTAGTTAGGATTATCATTTTCGTGATGAAACACCACAATCAAAGCAACTTGGGGAGAAGAGAGTTTAATTGGCTTACACTTCCACAGCACTGTTCATCACTGAAGGAAGTCAGGACAGGAACTCAAACAGAGCAGGAACCTGGAGGCAGGAGCTGATGCAGAGGCCATTAAGGAATGCTGCTCACTGGCTTGTTCATCATGGCTTGCTCAGCTTGCTTTCTTACAGAACCCAGGATCACCAGCCCAGGGATGGTACCACCCACAATGGGCTGCCCCTCCTCCTATCAATCACTAATTAAGAAAATGCCCCACCACTGGATCTTATGGAGGCATTTTCTCGATTGAGGTTCCCTCCTTTCAGATGACTCCAGCCTGTGTCAAACTAACATAAAACTAGCCAACACAATTCTGAAAGGAAGATTCTGCAATAAAAGATACTTCTGTCTGAAGACAACTATTTCAACAACTAGAGAGTGGCATTTCTCCATCTGTGCAGGTAAGTCAAATCACATGCAGGTAACATCACCAAACATGTCAGCAACAAGAAACATTTCATCTGGATCCAGTTTTTATCCAACAGGGTGATTTTAAGAATACTGAATTTACTAATATTTGAAAGGCATTAACTTTTGAGCTAACAGTTTCGTTCTTTTTATGGTCTTTCAGAAATGTAATAAATTTTCGTAATAAACAAAATGGGTTTTAATCTAATGATTTATAATATCATTTAAATATATAAAAGTAAGTTTTGTAGTAAAAGGCCCCTTCAACAGGTACACCCAGTTTTCTTTATTCTTGATACTACATTGATGAATGAAAAGCCTATCAAAGATTCATAAGTCAAATATCTTTAATTATCTTTCACTTCATTTTAAGTCAGTGATGACAAATGATTTTGTTTCCATTTTTCTGCCTTCTTTTATTTAGCAATAAAAATTATTCAAATAAACAAAGCCTGAAATTTAAAGAATCATTATTTGTAATTTTTAAACTATTTTGGTTATGCATTATACATTCATAACTAGGAGGCCAGATAGATTTACAGCTTCAGAAAAAAAGCTGCCCCATAATCTCATACAATTAAACTACCATGATCATGTTGACTATGTTTATCTACATCCAGTACCTTAAGAATATGTATCTAGCAAATACTTATTAATGAATGACTCTCTTAGAACAGGCATATTTATGGCACTTAAGGAATCATTGGGTTTCATCTTCTCATGGCATGTGAAGCAAAAATGTAAGATTTTCTTAGGTGCCATTTCTAGCATAGCATCTCCTCAGACCACTTTGAGATTTGGTCTCTTTGCTATGCACACTGGTCACAGGACATGAAGAAAGCAAGTTGGCACTGACCTAGAAACTTTCCACCCTATGGGCTAGTTTTCCTACTACTAGTGAAGGTGTTGTGCAGGTCAGCAGCAGAAAAGTCATCATTAGTTTACCCAGCTGGGAACTCTGTGAACTACAATAATGACCTCCATGGCAAGATATGCACATGGGTCCAATGGTGACACAAATGTCATGGAAGCAACCAACTACTTTCTAATTGGATTTAAGGCCCACACCACCTGAGGAAGCACATGCTTGGTACTGTAACTGTGTCCAAAAACTCGTATTTGGAGAGGCATACAGGTCCAGGAATGAATCTACTAATATTTGTCTGCTAAATGGGCAAAGCATCAAAGTGTCCTGTGAATTTGTATCTCTCAACCCATAGACTGTTCAGGTCCCACACTGCAGCAGAGATGTTTCTTTGTGTAATGGATGCTGGTTAATGTGGACACTCACAACTTAAAATACAGAAAAGACTCAGCCACAAATGGAGCATCTGTATCACATCCCCTATCCAAAGCGCAGGGGCCATCTTAGAAGAGGAAACAGAAAGATTCTAAGAGCCAGAGACTAGGGAGAACCAGAAAGAAACAATGTCTCCTGGGCATGACAGAAGTGCTTCCCTCAGGAACTCACAGCAGCTATGGCTGCCTACATAAGATCAAGCCAATCAACATGCTAGCAAGGGGAAGAGGTTCACAAGCCCCCATCCCTAAGGATGCATGGACAGTTGATGGCTTCTTGGGAGGGAATCAGTTTTCCTTAAGGGTTTGGTCCTTGGTAGGTCAATCACATTGCAGCAGATGGCCCTAAATCCATGAGTATATGGGTAGCTCAAAATGAAGCTGATGGGCTAGAGGAGAGAGAGAGAGAGAGAGAGAGAGAGAGAGAGAGAGAGAGAACACAAAGTTGTGAGGAAGGCAGAGGTAGATTTAGGAGGTGCTGAGAAGCAGAGATGGGGCAAATATCACTAAAATACATAGAATAAAATTATCAACATTAATAAAATAGTTTTAATATTTGCTTTCCGTAAGATAATGTAGTTCCACAATTTGAACATTATGTAGGTAACACCTTCACATTAGTTCCTACATAAAAAGACAACTAAAAAAATTAATTTGTTTGTTACTGTGTAGTATAATTTATGTGAGTTTTTGGTTGTAATTTTTAATTTTTAAAAAATCTTCAAAAAGAACTAACAATTCCCTCTTTCTTGTTCCCTTTTAAAAGGAAATAAAGCAAGATTAGGTAGTAATAGCAAAGGATGGTAGACTGTTTCATGAAGGACATTTTATGAAAGTCGTAAGTAGGGCTGGCCATATTACAGTGGTGAACAGCACTGGCTGCTCTTCCAGAGGACCCAGGTTCAATTCCCAGCACCCACATGGCAACTCACAACCATCTGTGACTCCAGAGGATTCAACACCCTTATGCATGCAGGTAAAACACCAATGCAGATGAAATAAAAATAAATAAATCATTTAAAAAGTTTTAAAGTCATAGTAGTCTATATTTTTTAAAAAATCTCATTTCAATGCTTAGATCTTAAATTGAAGTATCAATGACCAGAAAATCATTAAAGAATAGATTC